AAGTCCACGTTTCCTTGAGATAATTTAAGATAAACAGCAAAAGAATATTTAATTAGTTAATTAAATGATATTTAAAATGTTTTATCTTTTTTGTGTTAAAAAATATATTGTAGCATATAATAAAAATAAAACATGATCATGGAGAATATTCCAAGTACATATAAGGAAGGCCAATATCTTAATTGGTTGGTATAAAATGACTTTTAGGTAAATTCCAAAACAAGAACCAAACAAATTCAGCCACGAAAATAAACAATATATATAATAATTCATATTTCCTTTTTCAAAAAAAAAATATATATTTTTTTTTAATTACTTTGTTGATCGAAGATCTCAAGACAAAAACACTTGTCTGAGATTCGAATCATTTTACAAGCAAGATCGATCATGTATAGTTTAAATGATTATAAACATGCAATCTAATATCTTAAGACAAGAACACTTGTTTGATATTTGAATCACTCCACAAACAAAATTGATCATATCAAGCTTGAATGATTCTACGTGCAACCTCACAAATACTCATTTTACTACATTTTTCGAGTCTCTCTAATGAAACCCGAGTTTGTAATCTTCACGAAGCTCTACCTGAAGTATTTGTTGCATAAATGAAACTTGATTCTTCTTAATACAACATTAATATTGCATGATTGAGATGTCTTGGTTCATATTACTAATCTATAAAGTTTTCAGTTATTCGAACTCAACCCAACCCAACCAAACCAAAACCGTATAAGCTGGGTTGGATTGCTCGAGTTTTCCCGATCATCGCTTCACTTCCTTTTCCCACTCCGACACCTTCTAACGTCGGCACTAGCACCTCTCTCTAAAAAAGTAAGGATTAAATATTTTGATATACGTCGGTGTCGCTAAAAAAAAATAATAGAAGAAATTTGAATGGATAGAATTGTAATGAATGAGGGGAAGGAGAATGTATGGTGGAGATTATTTTGAAGAACATAAGGGATATGATGATAAAACCAAACCCTACAGATCAGGTGCTTGCCTATCACCTTTTGCTTTCATTCTTTGTTCTTGGAATTTGTGGTCAACCACACACAAATGGTCTCTAAATAATGCACCAATTCATAACCTCTCCTATTCAATTGGAACTCCTTCATTCAATTCTCTTTCTTTTTGTTTTTTCTTTTCATGTGTCACTATTTCACGTTCAAATCTCGAGATTTTGGATATATATTTAAAAACGATCGTACATGTTTCAAATAGAATAGATACACGTCAGTTACCGTCGAACACATAAAATATTATAGGGAGACTAAAAGAAAATTGAATTAACATACAAGGGGAATAAGATTCAGATTACATTGTTGATCGAATATCTCAAGGCAAGAACATTGTTTGAGATTCGAATCACTCCACAAGCAAGATCGATCATGTCAAGCTTGAATGATTCTTGTTGATCAAATATCTCAATGCAAGAACACTTGTTTGAGATTCAAATCACTCCACAAGCAAGATTGATCATGTCGAGCTTGAAGGATTCTACATGCAACCTAAACTACATAGAATTGCAAAGAAACTTAGTCATTGGCTATAAAACATACATGGCTTTATATAGCCACAAAATGAAACTGTTAAAAGGCATTCCAAGAGTTGTAACATTCATACTTAATGGCCATAATTAACCATTATATATTTGTGACCTAAAGTAAATAAAAAGTTTTAAAATACATTAATGAAATACAATAACTCTAAATTACAATAAATTGTAATCCGCCCAAAATTTATAACATGAAACTTCATTCTTCTTCCATGTGGCATGAATTGAAATATCTTTTTTGATAATTTCAACATTATTTTCTTCACATCTTCATTGAAGCATATTGTATGATTGATGTCTCTTGGTTCATATCATCTAATATATTTTGTTTTCACTCACAATGCATTCTATCCTCAGGATCGGTCTCATTCATATGTGGTCTTGGTTCATTCATTTACTTCTCTTTTACTTGAGTGTCACATGTCCACTGGCTTCTACCTTGGTTCGTCCCTAAACTATATCTTATTGGGTGAGGTATTACTCTGATAAATTTTGTAACGTAGCCATATTTGAGGGAATGCAAGGGAATGTCAAGAAAAGAGCCCAAGAGGTGTGCGAACCGACTGGCAGGTACATACTCGCACATGTGAGCCGTGTGTAAAGCAGTAAATACACACCAAATTACCTACTTACGATAATTGCCCACGGAATACAGACTAAAATGATAAGTCTCCCTCATGATTGTATGTGCTCGCATCTAACCTTAATAGTGGTGTCACATACTAAGTATTTCTTAAAAAACTAAATCATGTGCTACTCTTATTGGTGAAGACAATACTCCCCTATACAGTTGACGGTGATATCGCAATTCAGGAGACCATGACACATGCATAGGGTCGTTTGCATTTAATTTCGTAGATTATAGGTTAGTATGCATTTAAAATCGTAGAGTATAGGTTATTATACGACATTTCTGTCTCTTTTTTTTTTCTTCGTGTTGAAATGTTTTAAGGACCTTCTATCAAACATACAAGTCCATGACAATATTTTATGATAAAGTTTTAAATCATTATTTTCGCATAAAATGATAATGATATGTCTACAGTAACGACGGGTTGTTACATAGACAAATTGGTTGAGTCACGTAGCATTAATCTAGAGGTTAGAGTTCAGACACATGTACAACTCATTAAAAATAAAAAAAATATATTAAAAAAAATAAATGTATATTTTAACCAATTGAATTATATATTATAGTCTAGACTAAAATGATTTAGACGGTGACCGTAAGTATAATATAATGTGTCCATTAATTTTTTAAAAAAATTGTTATCCACAAATTAATTATTGAAAATGATGAATTTTGAAGTATAAAAAATGGCAAAGATTAATTAATAATGTTATAAACTAAAAAAAAAAAAAAAAAACTCCATATTAAATAAAAATATCTTTTAAATCTATTTTTCCAAGAGCACGTCAATTACGTTACAAATTGATTCATCACCGACCACATAAATAACAATAATCTCTCATAGTATCTCATGACTTTGCTTCCCCAATGGAGAGGGTATTCTTTGATTATAAATCTACGATCATTTCCTAAATTAGCCGATGTGAGACTTTCGTCCAACACCTCCCCTCGAACAAAGTACGCCTCCTCTTAATCGAGGCTCGACTCCTTTTTCTTCTAGAGTCCTGTGTTCGACATTTGAGGATTCTATTGACATGGCTAAGTTTAGGGCATGACTCTCTGATACCATGTTAGATGAACACGACTCTCCACAATGGTATGATATTGTCCATTTTGAGCATAAGCTCTCATGACTTTGCTTTGTGTTTCCCAACAAGCCTCAACCAATGTAGATAGTATTATTTAATTATAAACGCACGATTATTCCCTAAATTAGCGAGATCTGAGACTTTAAATATTTAATATAATTCATGTATTTTTAAGATATTTTCAAGTTAACATTTAGTGTTAGCTTGAAGTTATTTATTTATTTTATTTTTAAATAAGAATCACAAGAAGAAAAAAAAACAATAAATATTAAAATAAATTATTGTTTTGGATTTTGTGGGCGCAGTGGGGGCAAATGAGTAATAAATAAAAGATAAGGGATCTTTTTTAATTTATAAAAATCCAAGGAATCGTGTTTGTGGAAATTAGAACCTCATAATTTGGAGGGCCCATAATTTTAATTTCCAACTCATTAAATAATTCCAATAAATACTTTAAATAATTTATTCAATTTTTAAACTTCTCGCCGCAAACATCTAATACCATGCAACTTCTAAAGCTCTCCAAGGGGTAATTTGGAATTATCAAAAATAAAAAATAAAAAGAAAAATACTTTCAAAAATATATTTTATTTCATTTTAATTACTTTAAACCTTATAATTACGTAGATTTGTAATGGAAATAAAAATATTTAAGGTTGTTTATTAATAACTTAATTAATTAATTAATTCTAAGATCTTTTAGAGATCAATTTGATTATTACATTATAGAATATTAATTTTATTTAATATATGATGACTTTCGTCATCAATTATAATTGAAATGTAATTGAAAACTAATGGGCTTTCCATACAATAATGGGCCGGGCTTCCGTAATAGGCCCAAAAATTCTACGGAGAGCCGGGAACAATAGCAGGCCCATATTGTTTCCGTATATAGGCCCAAATAAAAACATTTTTATTTTAGAACATTTTTGTTTTCATTAAGGTTATTTTTATATTATAATTAGGGGTGAAAACAAGTTGGGCGGGTTCGATGTTCCCATGAACTCGACTTCATAGAGAAGTAAACGATGAAATATATTATTTTATTAGGATAATCAGTTTCATCCTATGGAGGATAATGAGAAACCTCTTATTGATCGTTAGTATGAGATTTCATATCAATTGGAAAGAATAACGAAACATTCGTTATAGAGGTGCGGCATCTCCTGAACAAACATATTTTAAAACCAAAACGTTCAATATATGTCAACGGTGGGCTTGAGCTGTAATGTGAATCATTCTCTATAAGCCCGCAACGAAAATTTGAATATCTTTAACTTACAGAGAAACTTAGGTCTTGTCTTCAAATTCAACTAGATGAAGTCTTCCCGAATGCAACTTCCGAGAAAACTTTGTTTTATAAAGTAATTATATTATATATATATATATATATATATATTTATGCCAATTACCTTTCATATCAAAGGTCCCAATATGGTTCAAAGTATTATTTTTAGTATTTTTATATTTTATTTTATTTGGTGGTCTATCTATTTTCAAATGTTTGAATGTATTTAACTTCAAAAATAATTATGGTTATTATTATTATTTTTTTTTTGGAAAAAAAGTATTTATTAATCTCATTTGAAAAGGTAGCAAACAATAATAATAAATTATTAAAGTAAGGGTAAAATAGGAATTTCAAAATTTGTCACATAGTTTACTAATTGGAGAACGAGATGAGAACTAAGATAGAAAAAGCTATTACAGTAAATGGTTCGATTAACATAATCTTTACAGAAAAAGACGATAAGATTACAAATAGAGCAACCGTTCGAATAAGTAGATAATACCAATTACTATTAGGTTGATTGTTAGATTCCACCTACAAATTCGACTTACATCAATCTCGAGTAGCAACACTGAAATAAAACTTTCTTGTGCAAGGGATCGTTTGTGAGTGTGACATGACTGTCTTCAATGCTAGTAATCGAAGGGAAGACATTAATTTGCCACGAAAATGATGACTTTACTCTAATCTGATACACATAAACTTAAAACTACTCGTTTCTAATGTGATGATAGACGATAAGGCTAGAACGAGCATAAACGCTTTAACTAAATAAAATATTATTTATAAAAAGAGATCAAACTTCAGGTGTTTTTGGATGTTGGGTAGACGAAGGACTTGAATTAAATGATCGGAGATTGTTGAAGACGACGGCGCACCAGTCCCAAAGATGCAGCACCACGAACATCCCAATCCCTCCGATCAATCCATAAGCAATCGAATATGTCAACGGCATCAAAACCATCGTCATAAATGCCGGAATTGCTTCTCTCATATCCCCCCATTCGATTTCCACCATTGATTTCGCCATTAAAACCCCCACAAGAATCAACGGCGGCCCCACCGCCCACGGCGGAATCGACGCCAAAAGCGGCGTAAACCAAAACGCCAGCAGAAAGTATCCCGCCACCGTCACCGCTGTCAGCCCTGTTCTCCCGCCTTCTCTGATTCCCGCTGACGACTCGACGTATGCCGACAACGGCGACGTTCCAAGCAGAGATCCAATGACGATTGAGAAAGCGTCCGACATAAACGCGAAATACTGCCCCTCGAAGTCGCCGGCAGCGTTGGTGAATCCGGCGAAACGGGCTATGGAATACAGAGTTCCGGTGGTGTCGAGAATGTCGACGTAAAGAAACGTGAACAGAGCTTCCCAGAAATGGGGTTTCCTCAAATCCCGGAAACTCAAAGCTCCGGCGGTGGTTTTAATCAAATGCATATCGACGACTTTCTTGAAATACCCATATGCAGAGTCGCCGGCCGCCGTGTCGGGAAACACCGTAACCGCCGTGTTACGAAACCAAGAAATCGCTGTCACGAAAACGATGCCGTATACCATAGCGCCTTTCGCGTTTTTCACCAAACAATACGCAATGATTACGAATCCCACCACGCCGAGCCAGAACGTGGGGCTTTCCATTCGGTTGTTAAGGCAGAGAATCTCGTCGGAAACGGCGCCGTTTGGGAGAAGAGTAACCGTTCCATTCGGGGCAGTTACGACGGCAGCTAAAGCTGCCCGGGAAGCTTTCGGGCAAGCTCCGATCGTGACGAGCGTCGAGGCGCTAAGCCCGATTAGCCCAATTCCTTGATTGCTCTGTAATCCGATGAAGGCGAGGAATAATCCGATTCCGGCGGAGGATGAGATTCTGATCGGTTTTGGGATTAATTTGGCGAGTTTGGCTCGTAATCCGACGGCGGAGATTAGGAGGAAGATTAAGCCCTCAATAAAAATGGCGGCTAATGCGCTTTTATACGGTAAATAACCCGACCCGTGAAACCCGACGACGGTGTAAGCGAAGTAAGCGTTGGTGCCCATTCCGGGAGCTACGGCCAAGGGGAGATTTGCGAAAACGCCCATTATGAAGCTTCCGATGAGGGAGGAGACGACGGTGGCGGTGATCAGATCTTTTCGGGTGGTCTCTAGGCAGGCGGAGTAACCCGGGTTAACGGGTCGGAATATGCAGGAATTGTCCGGTTGGATGACGTGGTGGGCCGGAGCTAAGCAGGCAGCAAGTGGTACGGTCGGGTCAGAACAGAGGGGCGTGCAGTCAGCGGCGGTGCACGTGCCGCCTGAGTCGGTGAGGATGCTAGCGTTCACGGCGAGAACGTAGGCCATCGTGAGGAAAGTGGCGGTGCCGGCGCGGAGCTCCGTCGTGAAGGTCGTGTTTCGTTCGACGAGTTTAAATCGCTTTCCTACGCGAGTGGTGGCGACGAATGAGTTTAGCCTCGTCAGTAGAGATGGCTTGTGTGCAAGAGCCGCCGCCGTCGCCGGTGCCGCCATGGGAGGTTGTCGTAGAAGTGTGGGTGTGTTGAATTTGAACAAAGGTGTGTTATCTCAGCCATTAGTTTCTAAATAAGATTGAAAACGGCGTCGTAACGTTTAATTATCTTTTTTTAAGCTTTAAAGAACATACTCTCATGCAAGGCATGTAGTTGTTCATTGATGCATTCGTTTCTTCATTTTTGTCATTTTTTTTGGACCTTCCTTTTAAAATTCCACCAACCCGGGACTAATCTCGGGACCCGTAGTCTTTTTAGTTCAACAATGACAGACCCACAGATATGAATCTCTGACTTCGTTTTTATTTTCATTGAATCTTTTATTTGTTTATTTCTAATAATGTAATCAAAACTTTAATTTCTGTTTTAATTTAGTAAAAATGTATAAACAAACTATTAAAGACATTCTAACATTCCTATAACCATAATTAACGTAAATGTAACTTAAAGTAAATAAAAAGTCTTAAAATAAATTAATGAAACACAATAATTCTAAATTATTTTAAATGGTAAGTCACTCAACCACATTTTATTCGCATCTTCATTGAAGTATATTGTATGATTGATGTCTCTTGATTCATATCTGAATGAATGGAGCGATATGCATTCACTAATTAAGAGAAATCAAAAGCAGCTTAGATAATATTATATAATTGTGGAAGTCTATCATTTTTAACAATAGATATAAACTCAAAAAATAAAATTATATCATATTAAAAAAAATAAAAATTACGAAGACTATATAAATTAAACTCTAAATATTCTTTTTTTTTTTCACATATAAATTTTTTAATTATTTCATTTATAATTTGTGGATTGAAATAACTTTTTGTATATGAAATGATATTTTACATTTTTTTTTTCAGAAATGAATGAATCAGGCAAATAGTTGACTGAAATAACTTTAAAGGAAAGTTATTATCTATACCATCAAGATATACCTCCTTTTGCAGTGGCTCATACCTCCTTTTGCAGTGGCTCAGTCATAGAAACTTCATGGTTAAGCGTACTTTGCTTGAATTAATTCTAATACCGAACGTCTGGAAAACAAGAGATGAGATTTAAAACGCCTAGATGCCCCTAAGAACCTGGCAGACCTCCACAGATCCTACTTTAGACAATTTTTTCTAAAATTTTATGAAGAAAATGGTTTTCTTGTCGATTAAAAAATGATGAAATATTGTAATTAAAACTATATTGTACAATTTTGTATACTAAGTTTGTAAAATTTATATAAATGATCATCATGCTTGGCATAGTGCATAATCATTGTTGTACTCTAGGTGTCTGACTATAGTACAGAGCTAGTTTGACCAGCAAGCCCAAACTTAGTATACAAAATCATGTAGTCTTTCCAAAGCATGCTAGGAAGTTGATTCTTCCTCGTAGACAGTTAGCCAGTAGTTGCTGAAATACGAGACTTCCTTGTCTTCAACCTAACTTGCTATCTTACCTTCAGCCTTTACACTTCTTTTCTCAAACTTGAATGAGAATTCTTGTTTAGTTATTTTCCTTTTCTGTTAATCAAAAAAATTCAAACACAAAGTCAACATGTCCGAGTGGTTAAGGAGATAGACTCGAAATCTGTTGGACTTTGCCTGTGTAGGTTCAAATTCTACTGTTAACGTACAATTTTGTATTAGTTGTAAAATTTATACAACTACTAAATGATCATTATGCTTGACATGGTGCCCGACTACAACACCGAGGAGCTAGCTCGACTAACAGGTCCAAACTTGACAGCTAGTTAATTCTTCCTCATTGACAGTTAACTAGTAGTTGTCTCGACAGTAAAGATGAATTAGAATTTTTGTTTCGTATTTTCTTTTTCTGTTAATTAAAAAGATCAAACATAAAATCAATATATTCGAGTGGTTAAAGAGACAGACTCGAAATCTATTGAACATTGCCTGCATAGGTTTGAATCCTCCTATTGACGATTCATGATACTAACTCCCATATGTTCGAGTGGTTAAAGAGACAGACTCGAAATCTATTGGACATTGTGATATGAACCAAGAGACATCATTCATACAATATACTTCAATGAAGATGTGAAGAAAAAGGTTGTCAAAATTATCAAAAGATGTTTCAATTCATGCTACATTGAAGAAGAATAAAGTTTGATTGCTGTAAATTTTGGGTGGGTTATAATTTAGAGTTATTGTATTTTAAGACATTTTATTTAATTTCGGTTACATTTACCTAATGGCTAATTATGGCCATAAAGTGTGAATGTTACAACTCTTGGAATGCCTTTAATAGTTTCATTTTGAGGCTATATAAAGCCATGTATGTTGTATTTGTAAGAAAGACTTAGAAGATATATCAAAAGAAGCATTTGTGCTTTTCTTTAGCCGATGGCTAAGTTTCTTTGCAATTCTATGTAGTTTAGATTGCATGTAGAATCATTCAAGCTTGACATGATCAATCTTGCTTGTGGAGTGATTCGAATCTCAAACAAGTGTTTGAGATATTTGATCAACAAGAATCATTGAAGCTAGACATGATCGATCTTGCTTCTGGAGTGATTCGAATCTCAATCAAGTGTTCTTGCCTTGAGATATTCGATCAACAAGGTAATCCGAATCTTATTCCCCTTGTATTGATTCCTTATCTTATCACATTGCCTGCATAGGTTTGAATCCTGCATAGGTTTGTATAAAGAAAACTGTACAGAAATAATACCTTGTATTATGGCTAGCTGGTTGAGTTTTCATAGCCATGTCTAACTCCCACAGGCCAAGCACTCTTCACTATTCGTTAAAGAACATACCATCTCTGCCATTTTTGTACTATCTTCGTTGTTAGTTTTTTCCTGTAAAAATCATCAATGGAGTTTGATTATATGATGAACTTATAACTAAGCCAGTAGTTTTTATTATACACTTACCTTTAGCATTGAAGTATCGACTGTAAATTTGATGGCATCGGCTGCAGCTCGGGATCGAAGATAGTACATTCCTGTTTTTAAGCCCTTCATTAGCAAAAACAAAAAACGGAGTCAAAAGTGCATTCCCAGTTGAAGGAGAGAATTGTTAGGAATCACGATCTCTACAATTGTTTGATATTGTCCACTTTGAGCATAAACTCTCGTTGTTTTACTTTGGGCTTTCCCAAAATGCCTCATACCAGTGGAGATGTATTCCTTAATTATAAATCCATGATCGTTCCCTAAATTAGCGAAACGTAGAACTATGAAAATAATGTACCTTTGACCACGCATAGAAGTGCAAGGAAGTAAGTTTTCCAAAATTTGGTTGGTCCATGTGAATATTAAGGCTCTGACTCTGGTCGATGTAGCATCCTCGATCGATGGCCATATCTACTAGTGTCTTCTGCTTGATCTCCCAGACAGTTCTGAGTTCGATATATTAAGAACAAATCAGAAGGACATATCAACATCAAGGGCAAGAAAAGGGGAAATGTAAGGAAAACTCATATTACTTGTAAATAGCTCTTAGATCATCAGGGATTTCTGGAATGTTCTGAACAGAACCATTCTCATAGATGATCTTATTCTTTAGTACAGGAGACCATAAATCCATCTCTGTTAAGTCATGCAGGAGATGCTTGTTCACAACGAAAAATTCACCACTGAAGGATGGAAAGAAAGATTTCAGAATACATATACATACTATTGTTACAACAGGCTCTAGAAGTTCAAACTGAAATGCAGACCTTAGAACTCTGCGGCTGTAGATGTTAGAAGTGTATGGTTCAAAGCACTCGTTGTTTCCAAGAATCTGGCTGGTAGAAGCAGTTGGCATTGGAGCCACAAGAAGTGAATTTCTAACTCCATTATTCGCTATCTGTTCTCTCAGAGCATCCCAATCCCATCGCTTTGAAGGAGTTACCCCCCACATGTCAGGCTGGAGAATTCCCTGAGAACAAAAAAGTGAATCAGAAGACCAGGTGTTGGTGAATGATTGAAAGGTAATATAGATCAGAACAATTTCAGATAACATACCTTACTAATAGGACTGCCAGCATACGTCTCATAGGGGCCCTCCACTGCAGCAATCTCACATGACGCTTTAAGAGCATGGTAGTATATGGCCTCAAATATATCTTTGTTCAATTGTTGGGCCTGCCATTTGTTACAATATGGACAACTTTAGCTTGAATGTACGAGCTAAGAACAGAAGGTAAAGCTAAAAAAGCCTGAATTACCTCGGGTGAATCAAACGCCATTCCCAGTAAAATGAAAGTATCTGCAAGTCCTTGAACCCCAATACCAATGGGTCTGTGTCTTAGATTTGACCTTCTGGCAGTCTCAACAGGATAGTAATTGACATCTATTATCTTGTTCAGATTTGTTGTCACTTGAGCCGTTATCTAATTAGAGAAAGAATAAATAAGCAACTCAGTTTTTACAAGGGTCCTAGCAGACGCGTTTTAAAAACCTTGAGGGGAAGTCCGAAAGGAAAAGTCCAAAAAAGACAATATCTACTGGCAGTGGGCTTGAGCCGTTACGTAAAACTATAATCATGAGTAAGAAATAATACCTCGGCTAATTTGTCAAAATCAAAGTATCGATTCTTGGAATCTCTGCTACCAATAAGTTTAGATGGGTGAGACTCGATTGGAACACCCTGCAGTTAAAAATCGTATAATGCAAATTAAGCTAATGAATCCCAATAACAGAAGGCAAAGTTATGCTGCAGAAAAGAACAGGTGTTTGGTATAGCCCACCTTCTCTCTGACAAAACGAGGTAGAGCAATTGATGAAAGATTACACACAGCTGTCTCTGTTGGGCTTGAATATTCAATAATCTCTGTACATAAATTAGAGGATTTAATGGCCCCAAGATTCTGTTGGTTGCTTTTCCTGTTACAAGTATCCTAGAGAATGCAAGAAAAAGCAAATAAAATAAGTTACACAACAAACAAGTTCGAAAGCTATTAACAAAGCACGGTGGTTTAATACCCCACCTTGAATAGCATGTAAGGGGTTCCAGTTTCAATCTGAGCTTTCAAGATTTCAAACCAAAGATTCTGTGCCTTGACAACCTTCCTGGCATTTCCCTACAAATAACACAAAATCATAATCAAGACAAGAGAGTATCCAATGTTTCGAGCAGAAAAAAGTTGGCTGCAAAATCAACTCCATGAAAATTAAAATGTATTTACCTGCTGCTCATATCCAATGTATAGCTTCTCAAATTCCTCACCCCAACAATCAGCCAAGCCTGGGGCCTCATTAGGACAAAATAATGACCATTCTCCATTACTTTGGACTCTTTTCATGAACAGATCAGGAACCCAAAGTGCAAAAAAAAGATCTCGAGCACGATGCTCCTCCTATGTGAAAAAACAGTTGCAGCAAACATTTAGCACTTACATATAAAAACTGTATAGCTAAAATTTGAATACTCATTTTAGAATCAACGGAATACAATGTAGCACACTTTCCAGTAAATAAATCAGCAAATAGTGTAATTACTTTTCCATGATTTTTCCTAAGATCCAAAAACTCAAATGTATCAGCATGCCATGGCTCTAAGTATACAGCAAAAGCACCTGCAAGTGGCAGTTATAATGTGAGAAACGCAAATATTGATCATAGAAAACTTAAAGGGATCCAATAAGCACATTACCTTTCCTCTTGCCTCCTCCTTGATCAACATATCGAGCAGTATCATTGAAAACCCGCAACATAGGCACAATCCCATTAGATGTCCCATTTGTTCCACGAATATAACTGCCCATGGCACGAATATTGTGGATGGAAACACCAATGCCCCCAGCTGATTTGCTAATGACAGCGCACTCTTTTAAGGTATCATATATACCTTCAATACTATCATCCTTCATGCATATGAGGAAACAGCTGCTAAGCTGTCATGCAATGAGCAAACCCATGAAAATCAAGCCAAGTTTTCAAATTATTAAAAGAAAAAGATAAAAACAACAACAACTACTACTATAATCAACATTATTTAGAAATAGGTATCAACTAACTCATAACTTACTTGAGGCCTTGGTGTTCCAGAGTTAAAAAGAGTGGGAGAAGCATGAGTGAACCAACGTTGAGAAATAGTGTGGTAAGTTTTAATAGCAGATTCAATATCATCCTTGTGAATACCAACAGCAACCCTCATTAACATGTGTTGGGGCCTCTCCACAACCTTGTCCTGAACCTTCAAGAGGTATGACCTTTCCAAAGTTTTGAAACCAAAGAAATCATAATCGAAGTCACGCTCATATACAATCTCACTATCCAAACGAGCCGCATTCTGGAAAAGAGCAACAAAAGAAAGAGAGTTCCATTAAACAAGCAGTATGGGGCAGATTAAGCACTCACCAGACAGAAATACAAAAGCTCAAGTGCACACATTTGCAACTTAAAATTTGATCAACAAAAAATCACCAGCAACGTACAAACTCAAGTCAAACCTCTTGCAAGGATCAAATGAATCAAATAAGACAAAAGAAAAAAAGAAAAAAAAAGTTCATGACCAATCAATAAATCCACACAAGAATTTCATTACAAAATTATTAATTATCAAAGGAAAATAATATTCAAGAAAGAATAAAAGATCACCTTCATGATTACTTCATAAACATCATCAGCTATGAGAGAAGCCTTTTGTCCTGATCTTTCACTGACATGGTTGTACATGTCTCTGATACTGAACACCATTACAAGTCAAAAATTAGTTTCAAGTCAATTATAGAGTAATAAACAATTTTAATTCCATACTGAAATGCATCATCAAGACTGGCACGAGCATATGCCAAACTTACGTCTCCGAGAATAACTTTTTCGTGTTCTTGTGCAGATTTGAAACAGCAATTCTTGCTGCCAACTGGGTTGAACAAACAAGGAAAACATTAGCAAATCAAGACGCATTCCCTTGCCTCCATTTATCAGTTACTTGTAATCATGAAGAAATTATTATCCCATAAAAGAAGGCCAGTTATGTAATAAGTATGTAGAACCACAGATGTACAAGACCCAAAAGATATCATAAACAAATTGAGAAACAGAAAGTAAAAGTAATTCAAAACGTGGAAAAATTCACAGATGGGGATAAAAACGAACGGAAGAAACCAAAGGGTTAGTTGGAAAAACTAAGATCATACAAAACAAGAAGACCCCAGATAGCAAAATAGATGAAGATACAAGTGAGAACTCACGGAAGCATAGTCAGGATGATTGGTGGTCATAGCAGCGGCGGTTTCGGCGGCCAATTCATCAAGCTGGCTAGTGGTGACGCCCTTGTAAACACCGGCACAGACTTTTTGGGAAACCAGAACCGGGTCACAGTGGTCGACGCTAAGGCCATAACTAAGTTTCTTCAAACGGGCAACAATCTTGTCAAAATGCACCGCTTCCTGACACCCATCTCTCTTCACAACATACATCTTTACAAGAAAAACCTTAGGAATTTTGTCGAAGAGGTCTTATGCAGAGACAGGGCTGAGAGAAAAATCAAGTTATATAGGAAGATTAAACAATAATGCAGAAAATGCACTGTTGGATGAAAGCAATTTATTACAAACGATTTCTAAGATAAATTATCAAATACTAAAAAAACATCTTTGGAAGTCCAACGCCAGAATGCCAAAGCAAATCTATCACTTAGACTTACAAAAAACAAATTCAAATAGATTTTTTAAAAAAATACATTTTTCGAATAGACTAGAACAATACTAAAAATAAAACAAGACTTTCAAGTGGACTGAACAAAGCTTTCAATACATTCAATAAAACAAAATTTTGAATCCACAAAACAATTCATCGAATCAAAACATTCGAACTTCTAAATAATTTTAATACATGACAAAACTAAAACATAGTTACTTTCAATTCGGAATCAATCAAAGCATTTTGAAAATTCATTCAAAATAGTCACAAGCTTCCTTTTAGCAAAAAAAAAAAAACAAATTAAAAGCGTACAAAATAACCTCAATAACTTCTCAAATCACATCAAACATACTTTCAATCAATTATCGATTGTTAGATAAACGAGTGAATATGATCCATAACTTTGAGTTAACCATTTTTTCTTCAGCAAATCTCTCTCCTTCCTTTTATTTTTTCTTCGAAGAAATTTTCCTTGAGCAGGTTTTTTTTCCTCCCAATTGCCAGAAGTCAACATCGATATTGAAAGCATATTTAAACCAAATTTTATGATTTGGAAATGATGTAGAAACTACTCGATCGATCAAAAACCTAGAATCCTCAATCCAAAATCCACTTCCATGAATAAATACGAACTTCGTTGAACAATATTTAGAGGTTAGAACTAGACTCACCGTTCACGTTTGTGGCTGTTGTGAGGAGGAAGATGAGGCTTGGAGGTCGTGGTTGAGTGCGACAAAATCGCAGTTAGATAGCCATTCAAAGAAGACGCCAGTGCATAGAGTCCAAGAGAGTGAGAGAGAGAGAAGGCGCTGAAGGTCGCCGGAGAAAGAAATGAAGAGTGAAGGGCGGAAGGGGATCGAGGGGTGTAAGGAAGAAGATGAAAGGTTAGGGCTTTGTTTTTATTTATAGTTGAGAATGAAGATTTGGAGGTTGGCGGGAGTATTTGAAGTTTGGGGGAGGGGTGGTGGTGGCCCACCACTTCTCCATTTATTTTTAATCCTTTTAAACTTTCACCTCTCAATTCTTATTATTTTATTTTCAAGTGTGTTGTCTCAAAACAAATGATATTTTACTTTTTAATCAACATTTTTTTTTTCGTCCTTAGATTATTGTTTTGTAACTTAATATTTAAAAACTTAATAAAGTATTTTGTGATTACCCCTCCCAAACTTCAAACTCGAATTTTTCCTATCTTTATTTTTTAGATTCAACCGACAAAGCATTTCTTTCCTTTCCTGCTTGGCCAAGATGTATTAAAGAGAACCTTCAGTCTGCTGCGAGATTCAAGTAACTAAGGTCTACTCGTTTTGGAACGCCTCACCTTTTGGAAAGCCTCACTTTTTCACAACAAAGACCAAAACCGATTCAATCAATTGAAATCAATGAAGTGTTAAGAAAATTAAAAAAAAAACTTTAACCTTTTAAGATTATTATGAAAATTCATAATATTTGACGATACGTCAGTGATGCATTTGTGACTTGTAACTATTTGATATTTAAGCTTTATAAGATTTTAATTATTAAATGTAACCCACAAAGGATAAGCAATTGATTTTTTTTAAAACAATGCAACCCAACCAAAAAACTGAGTTATGAATTATATTCTGTTATTCGTCTCACCAACCCAACTCCCATGAACCTCTAAACAGTTTAAATGTTGGTCTAAAAAAGTGAAAACCATGATGAAACAAACCTAAGGTAAAAAACATAACTATTATCAATATCGTTGATATATAGAATATAGATTTGAACGGAATCGACTTATATTAATGTCGACGTTGAAATCTCGTAGATTTTTTACAATAATCAAATCTCGTGACATATACGAGAGGGTCCCATTGAGAATATATATTATGTCAGTCAAGCTATACCAACATAGTTTGCCCAAGATAGTGGCATGTGGGTATGCACATGATAAAGTAATTAGACACAAAAGTGGCATATCTTAGTCAAGTGTATATGCTAGAAAAGCCTTTTACGGCTGTGAATAGAATTGATAGCCAAACACAAACGTTTCCATCGATGCTTATGATATGGACCCTATGGTTTTACTCTTGTGAACGGTGATCATTCTACCAGTCGTAGTCAATTCAAAAATGTGGAGAAAGTAACTTATCAATAAGCCTTGAGACATAATATCAACAAACAAATAAGCATTCATTACAAAATGTTATGCTACAAGCTTCCGATATGTAATAACATATAAAAGATAGGGCCGAGTATAGTACCTCATACTCTTTAAGGAGAAGCCTCCAACAGTCCCGTGTTATATAATTGATCGGTACAAGACTGTTGTTGCGCTTCTTCTCGACATTGTTGTTCTGCTTGTGGTAGCTGTCTATGTTGCTGCTCGCCTTGCCAGGTCCAGACAATGTCCTTCAGGGCGGGTCTTATATCGTCTTTCATTAACTTATGATATTCCAGAGTATCTCCGTTTGACTTCTTCATTTCGACAATATGGAATGATGGGGTGACCTCGAAAATCTCTGCATCAATACATACAGCTCCTTTTCGACCTTCCTTGCACCCTTCGATCTTCAGTACGCCTTTGTCTTTCTTCTTGATTTTCAATTTCAGGCACTTTGCAATGTCTTGCAGTTTAGAGATGATGGTGGATGCAGACTCGTTCGATGTGAATCTTACTTCTTTCTTTTGATTATTCTCCTCGAACAATCCTGACAAATCGAAACCTGACGACAAGGAGATTATGTCGAACGCGTTCATATTCAATGGCTTTCCCACTTCTTGCTTCAGCTCTCTGACAGAATCCCTGTCCTCGGTCGTAGACACGAAAACTGTATCGACATCCAAAGGAGCAACTTCTTTCACGTCTTCGGTATTAATTTTTGGTTTCACACTCTCCCTCCTTAGCCAAGAACTTCCCATTATTTTGGCAATAGTAATCCTGGTATTTGGGTTAGGATCCAAAATCTTTGACAACAGCTTGCGCACCTCTGGGGCAAACCAGTTGGGGAATTTAAATTCTCCTTTCCCAATCTTCTTATACATCTCCATTAGATTAGAATCATGGAATGGGAGATAACCAGCCAATAGAACGAATAAAATCACTCCACACGACCAAATATCAGCTTTGCATCCATCATAACCTCTCCTGTTAATGACTTCTGGAGCAACATAAGCAGGGGTTCCACAGGTAGTATGGAGCAATCCATCTTGGCGTTTAGATTCGGCAAGAGCACTCAACCCAAAATCAGAAACCTTCAAGTTACCATGTTCATCCAACAGTAAGTTTTCCGGTTTCAAATCTCGATGGCATATTCCTCTACTGTGGCAATAATCGACAGCACTGATCAGCTGCCAAAAATATTTCCGTGCAACAGCTTCTTTAAGCTTTCCCTTGGATACCTTGTTGAATAGCTCACCCCCTTTGACATATTCCATGACAAAGTAAATTTTAGTTTTGGTTGCCATAACCTCATATAGCTCAACTACGTTGGGATGCTTAACTAATCTCATGACAGAGATCTCCCTCTTGATTTGATCGATCATCCCAACCTTCAAGATCTTCTCCTTGTCAATAACTTTAATAGCCACACTCACACCAGTTTTAATGTCTCTAGCATGGTAAACCTTGGCAAAGGTTCCCTGCCCCAGAAGCCTTCCTAATTCATAACGTTGCATCAAGATAGCCCCTTTGTTCTCCATGACAAACGTACTTAACTAAAAAATAGTAACAGCTACTGCCACTGGACAGAATAATCAGTCAAGTAATATTTAAACATAAACTCAACCATCTTTATCATCCCTGTGCTTGATTACAGGTTCTCTTGCATTGAAAGCTGCCGTGGCCATTTGGAATCCCGAGCTGTAAGGTTGACGAATTAAATAACCAATTTCATGAAGCACGTAACAAGGCATCCACGATGGTTGAATAACCTCATCAACCTCAGAGAAGAAAGCCTCGACTTGCATACACATGTTTCAGCATTCCCAGGTGACTTTAATCAAACTGCAGAATATGAGGCAAGTCAGATAGAATTCCTCTTAAAGGCTGAAATTAAAATTGAGAATCACAGACGTTTAATCTAACATTTTTATGGATTATATTTAAATACCTATTTGACATTGATATAGCTGAATAAAAGACCAAGGTAATCAAGTAGAAAGCATGGAATAAGAATGTACGAGTCATCCAATTCCATAAAATACTGTCAATACATCTAAAGAATAGATAACAGCTTCCCAGGTTTGAATAAATGTCAGATAAAAGGTTCCTATTCTTACTCATAAGAGTCATTTATAAATCTCGCGGTCTGAAATACAAATCAAACAGCGAAGCCAACTAGCAATTGCAACACGATCCAGCACAAAATTTAGTCATTGGATGCAAGCAGAGGAATAATGTTTAACCTAGAGAATTTTCGTCTTGCAAGAACAAGGTTACACAGTCACATATTTCTTCTTCCAATTAATGATGGAAAATATTGCACAGATTAATAAATTTAAACCCAAATTAGCACGTACCATCAGTGATGCGCACAAATCGAGAGAACAAACAAGCGGCGGAATGAAATTCGGTAACAGAAAAGAGGAAAGACATACAAGACAATAACAAGAACAAGAAAAAAAGAATCGATTCATATCTTCACCATCACATACCACTAATCCGAGTGAAACGGAAGAGTTTCTCTATCGAATATAATATCAAAGCCGTAATGGTCAATACACAGTGACTTGAACAAATCACGAAATTCATATCCTCTCATTCTCCGAAACCAAACAGAATCGAACATAAAAAAGAAACAGAAGCTTTGATTCACAACCTCATCATCACAAAACGAAAATCAGAGCTCAGTGCCTAGTAACTAAATGAACAAAGAGAAAATCGACACCAAAATAAATCTAATTACAGCGTAAAAAAATGAACAAGAATTCCATTCGCTTACCAAGAAATCGAAGAGGAATCGAGAAGAATCTGATGAAATTAGCTGCAAAACAGCTAGAAGATTGAGAATGTACGCAATGGAGCTTCAGCGAAATCTCGAAAACCCGAACCCTGAACGCAACTACAAATTGGATTTGGCCGCTCGCTCTCTCTCCATTTTAAGGACTGTGGTCCTCCGGAAGATACCAAAACCGTCGAATATCTTATCAAATTTACCGAAAGGCCCTCTAATGTTCACCAAATTACAGATTCTGCCATTTCCTTCATTATTTGAATTCTGTGGCGGTGATGACGTTTAAATCTTTACATGGAAATAATTAATACACATTTCTGTACTTCCAACGGAAAAATTAAGAAAAATTATTATTTTGTCTGAAATAATTATAGAAACAAATACTAATTAATCAAATTTTATTTTTACATTTAAAAATAATAATTTAAAGTATGTCTAGAGAATTCAAATTCTTTCCAAAAAAATCTTAATAAAGAACTGAAAATTCTCAAAATTTGTGATAATAAATAAAAGTTATATATTTATAATTGATAAAATCATTTTTGTACAGCCATACAAATTTATTGTTTAAAATAATTTTGAAAAATATTAGATATAAGTACTTTTTATTTAACAGCTAAAATAATTATCAAATTGTGAAAATAATTTAATATATAAGATTAATTAAATATTATTAAAATAGAAACAAAAATTATCAATTTGAACATGAAGATAGTAAGTATTTTTTTTTCTTTTTTGTTTAAGATTTAAATTTATAATTTATTGAGTAATATTTTAATTTATTGTTATAATAATTGAAAATTTATATGGGTTTAACATTAAATATTAATTAATAACAAAAATTAGAGTATAAAATGGAGAGGCTAAATACTTGGCAAAGAAGATACGAGAGTGTGGGGTATGTACTTGATTGGCTCACAACGGCTGTCACCTAACTCCCTGACCCGTACCAATCACTGAACGACAAGTAGGACAGTGATGCATCCAAGTTCCAAGTCGA